CATTCATTCATTCATTCATTCATTCATTCATTCATTCATTCATTCAAGCAATTTGCATTCCTGCCCATCTTGCAATTGCGATTCTGGGTGGCAAATCCAGGATTAAAAAACTGGACAGAAAGAGAATCTGTCATAAATCGATTATACCTTCTCTGCCAAAGGTTCTCTCCTTTTGGAGCCAACTACACTTAGAGATCCTCGCTATTAATGTTTGGAAATATGTTCAAACTCAGTTATTTAAACAGGGATTTGGGGACTAAGGATGAGATGCATAATTTCATTCCTGGGAAATGTATGGAGCTATTATTTTTATAAATTAGAATGGGGTGGTTTCTGTGATTGTATTCTCTCCTGGGTGGATCCAGATATTGTTTTTAATTGGTATTTAGCGTTGGACAAGGTAAATTCCTCTCCAGGTAAAAAAACCCCCTGAGCTCAGTGTCATTTCATATTCATTTCCCACAAATGGATTTTTCGTAGGTTTTCTTTCAATCCTCTCCACATCGCACTTCCCCTGACTTCACTTTTCTTCTTTCTCCTGTAGTTCTCAAGAGTTGGCCCAGGAGATCAAGGCCTTCCTCAGCGGTGTCGACCCCGTTCATGGGAACAAGCTCACCATCAAGGAACATGCTCGGTGTGCCATTTTGCTGCTGCGCAACTTACCTCCTGCCCGCAGTGCTGTGTTAGAGCACCTCCGGGGTGTCTTTGATGAGTACGTGTGCACCTACCTGCTGGAACTGGAGAGTGGCGACGGTGGGATGGGTGGCCTCCGCTCCCAGGGACCCAACTTGGACGACGTGGTGTCAGAGATCCAAGCCGTGCTGTCAGAGTTTGTCCGCATGAACCCCAAGGCTTGGGCTGCCCTCGTTTCCTCCTGGTCTATCGACCTGATGGGGCAATTGAGTAGCAAGTATGCCGGGCGCCATGACGTACCCCATGCTAGCAGTCTCAATGAATTGCTGCAGTTATGGATGTCCTGCAAAGCCACACGGGTACTGATGGAGATTTATACCCAGTGCCTTTCTTCGATGATCAATACCTGTCCAGATGCTTGCGTAGATGCTCTCCTGGACACTTCGGTCCAGCACTCACCTCACTTTGATTGGGTGGTGGCCCACATTGGTTCCTCCTTTCCCAACACCATCATCAACCGGGTGCTCTCCTGCGGGTTGAAGGACTTTTGCATGCATGGGACAGCTTCAGCAGACCTCCTCCTTTTCCCCAGCACCGCAGCTGCCGACAAGCGGGTTCCCAAGATCGCCTCAGTAGTAGGGATCCTTGGCCACTTGGCCTCTCGCCACTCGGAAAGCATCAAGCAGGAGCTGCTGAGGATGTTCCACAGGAGCCTGGGACCCCCCCGGGACCAGCAGCAGAAGGCCACTGTTCCTTTCTTGCTGCAGCTGGCGGTCATGTCTCCCACCTTGCTCAGCACCATCTCGGCAGAACTGGTGGACTCTCTCAAGCCCAGCATCCTCAACCAGCTGCACCAGCACTTTGCTGCGCTGCCCCGAGAAGAGCTGGAGAACATGGTCAGCATTGTGGTGCACCTCATCTGCCAGACTTCGGGGGGCGCCTATCGTACGCTGCAGTTCCTGGTCAACACCGCCATGCCAGCTTCGGTCATCACAACCCCGGGTCTGGCGGTCCACGACAGCGTGCGGGAGGCTTGCGACCGGGTCATTCAGCTCCTGCTTCTCAACCTGCAGAAGCTGGTGTACAATCGGGGGTCGGCCAGCTTGGTGGAGGCCCCTCCCCGCGTGGTGCCTTTCTTGGATGATTTGAAGAACCACACGCAAGAGCTTTGCATGGAGACGCTGAAGCTGGAGCGGAAGCGGTTCCTCTGGCTGCACCAGCTGCTCGTCCTCCTTTCTGTGTACTGCACCCCGAGCTGTGCCAGTGAGGCCCTCTTCTACCTGCTCACGCTGGCAAAGAGCCAGGAGGGACTCAGCCTAGCCACCCAGCTCTACACCGTCCTCAGCTCTTGCATGACCGATCTGCTGCCTGCCCTGGTCAAGAAGTGTGTGCGCCAGCTCCACGCAGGGTTTCTCTCGGAGCAGCACACAGCCCAGCTCTTCCAGAACCTGGCCTTGATCATGCAGTGGGAGGGCGAAAGTCCTGCCTCCATGGGCCACCAGCTGGGACAGGCAGTCTCCTCCCACATCTACGACTTCGGGCAGCTCCTGCTGCACAGCAATCCGGAGGTTGCCCAAGCGGCGGCTTTGCTCCTGTCCGTCTGCCCCGCGCCCAAGGCCATCCGACCAGCCCACTTGCTCTTCCTCATCCGTTCGGCTGTGCACCACTTCTTCTCCGTGTTGCGTGAGAAGTGCCCTGCCGGCATTAGCTACGGAAGCCGCCTTCTCAGTACTCTGAGCGGGGCATTGCCCACAGCCAGCAAAGCCATCCTTCAGTACCTTGTTGAAGGAGCCTTGCACCAGGGCAACGCAGAGCTGTTTGGTGGGACGACAGAGCCCCCCGCCGCCAGGAACGACACCACGCTGGAGGCCACCAAATTATCGCTCCTGGACATCAACCGGCGTTTCATGGCGGCCGTCAACTTCTCTGGAAGCGTGTGGTCGGTGTTCCACGCGGGGGTCATTGGGAGAGGCCTGAAACCGCCCCATGCTTTGCATCAGCAAGAACCAGAGGAGATCTCCCATAATGTCCAGATTTTCTTGGGCCTTTTGCTGCGGTGTTGTGGGGCAGGGCGCTCGGGCCCCGAGCTGCCCCAATGCAGCGCCATCAGCCCTGAGGCTGCCAAGACAGTGGCTGTGGTGCTGGTGGAGACCGTGTGTCCTGACGTCACCAACAGTGAGCTGGCTTGGCCTCCCGAGGAACACACCCGCAACACTGTGGAGCGGGACATCCGGATCGGACGCTCCTTCCGGGACAACCCCCTGCTTTTCCAGCTGTTGAACTTGGTGGCCATCGGGAGGCCAGCTCTGTGCTATTGCTCGGTGTTGCTCCGGGGCCTCATGGCGACTCTCATGGCCCACTGGGAGGCCTCCCGTGAGAACGACACCACCAGCTCACCCTGGCATTTACAGGCCTCCTGTGCCCTAGTGGCCTGCATGGGGGAAGGTCATCTTCTCCCCCCCGTGTTGAGCAACATGCACGAGATCTTCGACCAGCTGGCCCCCTTTGAGGTCCACCTGCTCCTCCTCAGCGTCTGGGACTACATGCGCGACAACAGCCCCTTGCCCCAGAAATTCAGCTTCGACGCCAGCACGGGGCTCTTCTTCCGGGACTTTTCCCGAGACATCGACGCTGGCAAATACCTCTACGTCTTACACAGCGTCCTGCATAAGAACATCGACCGGTTGGGTCTGCTTTCAGGGCGGTTCCACACTTAGATCCTCAGATGCGGACCTGTTGTGCCGTGGATTCGAGAGACCAAGGGCTGGGGATGGTGGGTCTTTTAGGGACTGGAGTTTGGATAGGAGCACACGAGAGGCTTCGGCAGCGTTTGCTTCGATGTGCGGCAGCGGGCAGAGGAACGGCCTTTGGGCAGAGGACAAAGATTTATCTCGGGTTCTCTCCCTGTTCTTGCCTTTCAGCTTGTTGGAAAGGGACATTGGAGGAGGCTTGCATTTTAGTTTACGGAAGGACTAAGTGAACATTGGAAATATATTAATGGATAATACGTTATCATTTTCTCATCCTTCCCCTTCCCCCCTCCTCCTCATCTTTGCCCTGTTCCTCACTTTTTTCTCCTCTTCTTTTTTCCTTCTTCAATCCTGACCTTTTTCCTGACCTCATTCTTTCTTCCCTCCTCCTCTCTTCATCTTCCTCATCCCTTCCTCCTCCGCTCCTCATCCCACCTCCACCCTCAGTCCTCTCTTCTTCCTTTCTTTCCTCCTCTTTTTCTCCTCCTCTTCATCTTCATTGTCCTCTTCTCTACTCCCTAATACACACAAGAGCTCTCCTTCTTTATAAACAATCGCTCTCAAATACAGAAGTTTTTAACAAGGTTCTTTGGAAGAGTGTTTTTGACAGTCAGTAAGTAGAGCCACATCATCCTGGCTGAGTGTTGCATGGCAGAGCAGAGCTGATCGAGTGTGGTAGGAGGACTGGAGCTGGCAAAGTTCCCCACTTTTGTGCTTTAATTGATTCAGGCCACAAACCTGGGGAAATTTTTGGGTTCGTGTATCTTGGTTACATGCAGTCTGTGAAGGATTGCAACAGGTTGCAAAGCCAGTGCAGAAATATATTTCTTAATCAGAGAAAAGTGGGGAGGATATAGAAGCCGGTCAACAAATTTCTGTGTTTCTTTGAAGATTTATTCTCCAAAAAGGAAAGGCTATCAGCAAAAATAGTTACTTGATTCCTCTGTTGATGGGAGAAAGCACACCGTTATTATGCAGAGATAATGAAATCGGATTTCCCTGAAGAACTCTGTGCTTCTGGGTTACACAGCTCTCTTCATCGTTTCAGCTTTATGTGATCAATCTGTTTTGCCTTGATTAATGCAGATTGATTGTTGCAAGACCCATCCAATAATCAGAACAAACGGGGCCCTTGTTATGTGCTTTGATGTAAAAGCAGCATCAAAGTGGTTCCGATGTGGGTTCTTTCTTGGAATTACAGCTTTGCGATCAGCTGATTTTGCAGAAGTATTTCAGGTCAGCGGCCAGCCACAACCCGCCTTGTAGCTGAAACAAGCGTTCGGTATCTTCTCTCCATCTCTTCCTTCCTTCTCTTCATTGCGCCCCTGCTGCGAAAACAACTTCTGCTTTGCCTCTTTCGGCCCAGTTAGCGCTAAGGAGATACTGGGGTTTTTTTTCCAGTGGTGATTTCTGCATTAGAAAGAAAATAAGTTTAATTTGGAGACTTAGCAGTCAGACAGGCCCCGATGATGGTTCTGGTGTTTTTAGCCATTCTCAGCAGTATCTCTCATTTTCTCCACCATCTGAAGCTGTTTGGATTGGCTACTTCTCTGAATATAATAAATAAATAAAAGCAGGAACTCACAGCCCTTTGGATTTCCTTCATAATCAGAACAATGGAAAACCAACCAACCAACCAACCAACCAACCAACCTACCTACCTACCTACTTACCTCCCTCCCTCCCTCCCTCCCTCCAATGTGGTTGAACATTTTGGGGCATGTGTGCATGTTTTAAGTTTATTGCTAGTTTATATATTTATTGGGTGCATAGGCTGCCTCTCTTTCAGAAGCTCCCTCCTGCTTTTCCCCATTACAACAATCCTGTGAGGTAGGCTGGGCTGAGAAAGTGTGACTGGCCCAAAGTCAACCGGCGCAAGGCTGATGTTAGAATTGAATGTGGGTCTTCCAGTCTTACACTGTAATAATAATAATTATAATAATTAATTATTATTATTATTATTATTTATTAAACTTGTTGGCAGTGGCGGCTCTCGTTGCCTTGCTGTTCGAGGAAACCTGAAAGCAAGGAATTAAAAGTGAAGCATAACACAATATAAAATAATAAATGTTCAGAACATAAAACAGAAATAATAGCAATAATGGGGGTCATTATATCTCTTTCAAGGGTTTCACATTCTACAGGGGCTCATCCTGTATTTTTACCCCTGCAAGTGACTTAGGAGTGCTGTATGCAACGCCACCGCTTTCTGATCCCCCTCACAATCACCCTGCGAGGTAGGCTGGCCTGGCCCAAAGTCTGTCAGTGGGTTCTATGGTTAAATAGGGGGTTTAAACTTGGGTCTCCCTGGCGCTCCTCTGATATCTTAGCAACTGCACCTGAGAATATGCACCTTGCTCTGCTTTCAAAAGCCACCTGCCAATTTCTGTCTGTGCCTCCAGGGCAGGGATGGGATGGACTTCTGCTGAATGAAGAAAAGACTGAATTGAGGACTTAGGGATTTGGGGGTTAGAAAGGGTTAAAGAGAAGGGAAAGAGTAAGATGTCAGTTACTCAATCGAACAAAGAGAGGAAGTCAAAATTCTATTCTTGCTTTCTTTTTTAATTTTTCTATTTATTTCCTAGCTGTTTTCTTTTTCTTGTTTTTTTATACTTTCACTGTACTGTAAAATTCTAATAAAAATATTAAACAAAGGAGGAATGGGGATTGTTTCAAAGCCGGCGTCCTGGACTGCAACCCCCATCATCCCTAGCCAGTGGGGGATGATGGGGAGCTGCGCTCCCCTCCCCCTGGAGGGCGCCGGAAGTGCCCTTCTGTTCCTGCCCCCCTTTTCCTCTCCCCCCAAAGGACGCAGGCGTCCGAAAACGCCCCCCCCTT